ACACACACACACACACACACATACACACATATATATAATGTCTGAGACGTTAATAGGCTTTAATAAACTATATGTTGTTAAACTGCATTTTTTATTCTTTAAGTATTAAGACAAAATAAAATTTCTACAAAAATATCTGAGACTTTCTTGTTTAATTATGCAAACTTGCCTGAGTCTCTCATATTTGTGGCTAAAAGGCTAAATAAGTTTTATTCTTTGAGATAAATGAAGCAATAAGTTGCAGTTTTAATAACAATCATAAAAAAAATTATGTGCCTGAACCACCAGATTTTGAGGTCTTTTTTTTGTCAAATTCCAATCCCCTAAACGTTTAAAACTGAGTAATTTAATATTAAAAAGCATGAATTTATGACTGAATGTCAGAAAGTTGCACAAACAAAATAGAGAAAATGCCAACAATCTGTAATCATTGAAGTTTAAACATGTTAACGAAAACGTGAGTGACATTCAGCTGATTCTGGTACTGAAACCAAGAGAATTTGCACAGAAAAATGATAAAAGTCTGCGGTCACGCTGCAGCCCAACCCACTTGTAATATGGGATTCCCAAACTTACCACAAGAACTGAGGAGCCATCAGTAAAATAAAGCTCAATGCTCTGAAAATTAGCATAAACTTTTTAAACAAATAGGCAGACTGATGAAAATACACACAGGATGTGGCAACTTGAACCACTGGGGGCTACAAAAACCAGGAGGAACCAAATCTGTGAAATGATCCAAACTCAGGTTTAAAACAGGAATTCCACAAAGCATTCAGAGGACTACTGCTTTTAAAATAAAAACAATTTGACAGAATAAAAATAAATAAAAATAAAAAACTTTCCATACCACATAGAGCAAAAACAAGAACTAAACTATAAACTCAGAACTACAGGTGCTGGTCATAAAATTAGAACATCATGAAAAAGTTGATTTATTTCAGTAACCACATTCAAAAAATGAAACATTATATTCATTCATTACACACAGACTGATATTTTTCAAATGTTATTTCTTTTAATTTTGATGATAACAGACAATCCCAAATTCAATATTTCAGAAAATCAGAATATTAAGACCAATACAAATAAGTGATTTTTAGAAATGTTGGCCAACTGAAAAGTATGAGCATGTACAGCACTCAGTATTTAGTTGGGGCTCCTTTGGCCTGTATTACTGCAGCAATGCGGCGTGGCATGGAGTCGATCAGTCTGTGGCACTGCTCAGGTGTTATGATAGCCCAGGTTGTTCTAATAGTGGCTTTTAGCTCTTCTGAATTGTTGGGTCTGGTGTATTGCATCTTCTTCTTCACAATAGCCCATAGATTTTCTATGGGGTTAAGGTCAGGAGAGTTTGCTGGACAATTAAGAACAGGAATAGCATGGTCCTCAAACCAGGTACTGGTAGCTTTGGCACTGTGTACAGGAGCCAAGACCGGTTGGAAAATGAAATCTGCATCTCCAGAAAGTTGGTCGGTAGGAGGAAACATGACATGCTCCAAAACTTCCTGGTAGATGGCTGCGTTGACCTTGGACCTCAGAAAACACACCAACACCAGCAGATGACATGGACCCCAAACCATTACTGACWGTGGAAACTTTATACTAGACCTCTAGTGACGTGAATACTGTGCCTCTCCTCTCTTCCTCCAGACTCTGGGACCATGATTTCCAAAAGAAATGCAAATTTTACTTTCATCAGAGAAGATAACTTTGGACCACTCACCAGCAGTCCAGTCATTCTTGTCTTTAGCCCAGGTGAGATGCGTCTGACGCCGTCTCTTGTTCAAGAGAGGCTTGACACAAGGAATGCGACAGCAGAAACCCATGTCTTTCATACGTCTGTGTGTGGTGGTTCTTGAAGCACTCACTCCAGCTGCAGTCCACTCT